TCTGATCTGTTTATTTCTTGTCGTGTGTGATTGTCATCACCAGTATCGTATGAAAGTGATGTCTTTTGTATGCAGTTAGAATACGATCACCTTTCTCCACTACAGTAATGTATTAGGTTGGAGGCCATTGCTAGTAGGTTGCAGGCCATTGCTGTTAGGTTGGAGGCCATTGCTATTAGGTTGGAGGCCATCGCTATCCAGCTTTACAGCAAGCAAAGCACGCGCAATCTTTTGGCACCTCCTCATTACAGTTCAGGTGTTGGCCTAACCCATGCACAATGCCGCTTTCGTGTTGCAGGTTTTCCTAGCGAAACTTGCAATTTTTGAGATCATTTTGCGATCACAAGTGTGGGTCGTGATGCTTCATGTATGTTACAGTGTTGTAATGCTTCCTTCGACCTACTGTACTAGCAGATTTGTCGCTCAATGCAAACTGCCACGGTTGACATGTTGGCACAGTCCAGCTCGCAGCTCGTGCGGAGCCTTTCCGAGCAGGGGCTCAAGAGAGGCAGAGAGATGGGAAAGAGAAACGTGAAAGTTCTTTTGTAATCTTTTGTGCTGTAAGGTTGTTTCGGGTTTGACTGAGTCCAGGACCAGATGTTTGCACAGAACAGTAACAGTAATCTTTGGGACAAGGCAACAACGTATGCCCATCTTACAGTACAGTAGTGTTTCATCAGCTCGCATTTGGTGCATCCATGACTGCTCTGGATTGGGTTCAGAAGGCAGCTGATGAGGATCCGGGTTTGGAAACATACAGTGCAGTAGGGTCACTAAGGTACAAAAGTTTGTTTTTGAACTCTTGCCAAGTATGTGTTTGAAGTCTCCATGTGCATTCATATTCCAACTGCACTGTTCAAGTACCAAACACAATAAACAAATATTTAAGGAAATCAAAAGGAATTAAAACAAAATCAAAAGGAACCAAAAGGAATTCAACAGGAAACCAAAAGGAGTTCAATAGGAAATCAAAAGGAATGAAAAGTAAATCAAAAGGAACCAACACGAAATCAGAAGGAAATCACAAGGAGTCCAAAGGAATAAAGCAAAGGGAAGTCAAAAGGATGTACTGTAAAAGGAAACCCGAGGGAATCAACAAGAAATCAAGAGTAATCAATTCACATACCAAGCGAAACAAACTACTGTAGACAAGATGGCCACCAGGTACAGTAGAGACCAAAAAGCCTTTTCACGTTCATTGAAAATATTTCCACTCAAACCCTGTCCAGGCTCAATGCATGGCAAAACCTCAAGAACAAGCACGAGCTCGGAAAAGGGCAATGGCTAAGACCATCAGTGACGATCAAGATGGTTCCTCGCCACCATTGCCCCCACCGGCTGAACCACCTTCAGGGGATGAGTGTGGTAGCGATGAAGAAGAGAAGGGCAAGGGAGAGGAAAAGGTGGTCTTGAGCAAATCGATCACCCAGTTCAAGCACCATTTCAAAGTGGCTTTGGAGGGAGGCTATCGAAAATTCATGGTGAGCAGCTTTGGGTCTGAGGGTGTGACCATATGCGCTTGTGAAGCTTTCAAGTCTTCAGCAAACAAAATTATGAACCGCTTTGATCTCTATGGTTCAAAAAAGCAAGATAAATACAGTAATGTCATGATATGTGTTGTGAGCCACCCATTTTATACACAAAAGGACAGCAACCCATGTTGTATATTGGCAGAGCTGCTTCCCTGCAGGGTGGCAAACTGGACAAGTCCATGAAAACGGTTGCTATGGGCAGCCGGGAGCAGATTCAGGCTGACAAGGCCTTGCAAACCCTTGCTGCACTTGCCACACCTGAGCTGAATACTTTGGCGCGTGATCTTGGCAATGCTTCAACAGGCAATCTGGAGAAGTACCAGGATGTAACCTCTTCTTTCTTGGCTTCAAGTGAGTTCACAGGACTGCAGCTGGAGACTAGCCACTTTCGCATTTACACGGGCATTGTCAAACGCTTGGCGGGCATGTCACCAGCGTCAGACCAACCAGGAATGATCAAGGTTGGCATTCTTGCAGGCCAGAACTCAAACATTTGCGATGTTATTTGGGGCTCAACAGTGGGCGATGTGCTGGAAACTCCAGAAGTGTCTAGCAGGTGGAATGATTTACAATATGATGTCCTTGGTCTAGTGGTTTGGGATACACCTGATCAGTATTCCAAGTACAGTGACACTATGCTCCAGCTACCACCTACAGCAGAGGCCACGTTGCTCTTCTTGGTCTTCAATGGGCTTCCGCAGCCACATTCTTGGCATGTGGAGTTCACTGGACTTGGCTCTGAGAGGGAGGCATGTTTCCATCCAGTTAGTATTGACTGGAGGAAATGCAACCGCAAGAAGGATGATAGCTTTTTGGTGTCAGAAGCATCTAGGGTGGGAGTGTCTTTTGTCGATCAGGCTTGGGTTGCCCAAAGTCACATTGAATAGTACACCACTTACACATTGCACTTTTGTATGTCTTTGGTGTCTTTACCAAAGTACCGCATGTGGGACCATGGTTGGAAGAAAGCAGCATAGTACAGCAATACTGTATTGTACAGTGAAGTAGTACTTGTGTTGATGCATTCAATCCAGAATCACCTACACAGGGTTGCTGTACTGTATCAGGTGGCTGCTTTGGTGTGCAAGGCTGTTGGTGAACATCTGCAAGAGACCGTGTTGAAGGCGAAGGCGCAGTTCACATGTGATAGGCTGAAGCCATTCCGGAAGTACTGTGCAGCACCAGATGGGCTGTGCGCTTATCACAGCATCCTTGGCACTCTCAGGTTTCAGCAATGGTCACAGGTCCACAGGTGCAGCGCTGGGTTTGCTTTGAACGCACGGACCCAAAAATGGGAGTCAGAGCAGGCCATGGCTCTTCGTGAATTGGCAATCGCATCAACACCGCTGGATCAGCCAGTCCTGGTCCAAATGGCTTCGGAAGCCAAACAGTTCCTGACACTGGATATCTGTGAACTAAGCTGGTTGGGGTGCACGCTTAATCTTTGCATTCGCTGCAGCATCAGCGACGAGGCAACACAAACATATTCTAACTGCAGTCTTTTGGGTAGGTTTCAATAAGACATCAATTATTGGTTTCACAAGGTGTTCAATCATGTTTCAACTACTGTACTGTACAGTAAATACAGTACAGTAACAGCAAGCATGCTTCATCCTGTGGTGTCTGGGTTAGCTTGGCAGGCCTTTGAGACATTTGTGCAGAACAGCACTGCGGATGTCAAGCAGGATGCGCTCTATGGTTGCACTGAGAGATGCCTCGACGTCCATCTCTACTATCAGATCCTCACCAACTCAGCATCCAATGCTGATTCACTGCCACGTGAGAATGACCCTCGCATCATTTGGCTTCCACCGGACGCACCGCACAAACAGCCAATTGCAATTGCATATAAAGACATAGACATGGCAATTGCGGCAACTCTTGCACAGCACCCAGGCTCTGCAGAGCAAAAGATGGATCCAGCTCAGCAACCAGACATGGAAAAGCAACATTCAAATGCAAATGAAGCACCGCACTTGCAGCCGACAGCAACAGCAGAGCAAAAGATGGATCCAGCTCAGCAACCAGACATGGCACAGCAAGCTTCAAATAT